TGTGATTATTTCAGAGAAATAGTTTCCATCATCACATCACAGAAAGACCCTGGTTTGAGTGGTTTGGGAAGTCTGCCTGCTTTCTGTGTTTGTCTCATGCAAAGGAAACAGGGAAATTAACAACTGAAATTAGCTATCGAGACAAAATTCAGAGAGGCCTTTGGAACCACAAAGCTGAGGCAGGGATGGCAGCAGATGGCAGAGGAAAGACAGCTGAAGTGACGCGTTTGTAATTCCGTTTCACCAACAAAGAAAGCAAGAGAGAGTAGTCGTTTTTTATTCTTTTAAATATTCAGAGCTCAACTTGAAAGTATTGTCAACACCCAGTTTCCTTCTGGGATAGATGATTAAAACTTAAAGTCATAAATTCCTCTAGAATACCTAAGAGTGAAGCTACCCTGTTGTGCTTACAGCCTGCTTGTGCTTAAAATGTGAACGCGAAAGGAAGTTGGGCTCTAGGAGAGCTGGGGCTAGCTTAGTAAGCCCCGTGGCTGGAGGCAGTTTCCACTTTCTGCCCACCAGCCTTCTCATCCATAAAACCCACAGCTGAGTGTCTTTCAGCTGCAGAGTTCTGTGTTTACAAGGTTTGGTGGAGAAGTTGGTGGGACAGCTTTACATGGAGGGCGAGTGCTTGTAGCTGCATGTTGGGTTAAAGAGTTGCCTCCGGCCGAGTCTTGGGGTCTCACATAAAGAGGGGAATCTCACATAAAGAGGGGAATCCAATAGGAAATGGCCTGAACTCTGGGCCAACCTGGTGTCCATCCCAGCTTGCTTCAGGGTGAAATGCTGGGCTCAAGCCCTGGTATCCCCCAATCCCAGTGAGACTGATGGCCTTCCAAGACAGAGAAAAGGCAGCGTGTTTCCTGGTGCTGACCACCTCTCGTTAGCAACCGGGCATCCAGCTGGGGCCATGGGAATCAGAAGAGAAACAGTCCAAGCTTAGATGGGGAGATCTTCCCAGGATTCTAGAGACATTTGGCAAGCAGAAAACTATTCTGCCCATGGTCAAGAAGCCTAATTATTGCTCTTTCAAAGACAAGTGGCTTCTTCTAAATATAAGAGGCATATCTACTAATTGTAGGGGGGAAAATCCACTTAGGAACTATGGAAAATCACAAAGACTAATGTGACCACCTTGTTTGGTAACCAGCCAGTGTGAGTCTGTTTCTGTCTCTGGGGCAGTTCACGTAACACAAATGTAGAGCCTGCTTTGCACATGAGAGTACAAGCATTTCCCTAATGTCATTCAAATCTTCAAGTACATTCTTTTAACAATGTCCATCATCAGAATCTTTGGAAATTGCCAAACCTTTATTGCCAGGTTAATTTCTCTCCTGTACTGTGCTGTGGTAACATACTGCCAAGAAGATCTGGGGCGAAATTCTTCATCTGGGATCTTTCCTTACAATCCTTCATCCTAAGGTCATAGCTTATGACCGCCCTGAAGGGGGCGGATAAGTCTTACTGAGTTTATGTGCAGAAAGGATGCAAAGCTTTGAATGACGAAATATAAGCCCGGCCCATGTGTTTGTCATGGACCCTTCTGCTTAGAAGTGGCTGTAAAACTTAGAATAGTCTTAGGATGAAGATTGTTCCTAGAAGCAATAAGAGTATGTATTCCCAAAGAGAGTTTGATGGGGGCACAAGTATCAAACATGTCCCTCTGGGGACCGCGAATTCTCTTTACCTGTCAAACTAGCTGGAGTTTTCCATAATTATTGTAGAAAGCCCCCACTCAGGATGATTTTACAGGTGATTTGAAGACCACTTCAGTCAATAAAGTGTTCAAATTGTGTGTAGCAAAGACAAGAACCAACCTTTAAAAGNCCCCGGCCCCTTCAGCTGGCGGGTCCTCAGTTGTTCTCTCCTAGTGCTTGGCCTGCTTTTGTTTCTTTTGATTACTTTGCAGCCCCCTTGTCTGTCTTTGTGTCTCATTCAGTGGACTCTGAACTCTGTGGAGTCACCGGTCAGGTCCTAAATACATTGCTATTCTCAGAAGCTAGCCGTGTCTGGGATGTAGTAAATTCCCACAAAAAAGATGGTGGGACTGGACTGTTCTGATTGGAAATAGCTGCCGGCACCAGGCCGGAGAGATCTCACTTTCTGAAGGATCTGTGATCTTTTCTGCTACACTCCCCTTGATATTTATAAGTAAGTCACAGGTATGTGCTCTTTGAGTGCATAGCTCAAAGGTGAATGAACAACACTTGGTTATGTGGAGATTGCGATGGGGGTGAGGGGCTTGGACCAGCTGCAGAAATCTTGATTCCTGATGGCGAGTGTGACTCAAGGATTCATCTATCCAGTACACTATTGTTTGCTAACCACACATTATAGACCAGACACTGTGCCAAGAGCTGTGGATATAGCGATTCTCAAAATACACAGGGAGCTTGCAAAATCCAACTAGAGGATTACACTATTTAAACAGGACATGCAGCTTGAAGAACACTGTCTGAATCTGACTTGTGGACACTCTTGTCCTTATCACATTCAGTCCTACTGGAGGACCCACTCTCAGCTACTTACTCTTTGTGCAAATTAGATGGTGTCACACCTTTTCCTGGGCAAATTGATTAGGCAAAGAAAGCTCTCATTTGTCCTCTTTTTAACTATTGTCATTGGCTCATCAGGCACAGGATGACTTTACAATAGGTCAACAACCAGAATTTTCAAGTGGGTGCTACTCACCCACTCATAAAAAGTGGACTGTGGTCAGCTGAGTCATGCCCCCCAAGGGTGTCCACACCCTGAGCCCTGGAACCCGTGATCATGTGACCTCGTAGGGCAAGGGGACTTTACATATGGGATTAAGTTAAGGATTTTGAGGTGGGAACACTGTCCTGGATTTCACAAGTGAATCCGATATAATTACAAGGGTCCCTGTAAAAAGGGAGGTGGGAGGGTTGGAGAGAGAGGGAAAGACTTGAAGATGTCATGCAGCTGCCTTTAAAGATGGAGAAAGGGGCGATGAGCCAAAGAATGCAGGCGACTCCAGAAGCTGGCAAAGGTAAGGATGGGGTTCTCCACTGACACCCACAGAAAGAGTGCGGCCCTGCCGACACCTTGACTTTGGGCCCATTGAAACCCATTTGGGACTTTTCACCTCCAGAACTGTAAACATAAATGTGTTGCTGTAAGTCACTAAATTCGTGTTACCCTTATCGCAGCAACAATACAAAACCGAGGAACCGAGGAGCTAAGTGAAGGTGCCAGCTGATTCCAACAGGCGTTTGAGAGGCATATGGTGAGACTGACCGGGACAGGGAGACTCAGCTGAGGCAGTTTGAAGTTAATAAAGCTGGAAGGGCTGACCCCAGCGCATTTTCTAAGGGTGCGGCATCAACCTAGGAAGACTCAGTAGCAACCAGAGCCCAGCGCTGAAGAGTCACAACTGGGGCAGAAGTTCAAGAACCAGGAGTGAAGCAGAGACTGGGTGAGGAGGGGAGGGCTCAGGGCAGCTTCAGGGGAACATATCACAGCTGCCAAGGTTCATAGATAGGAGGCTGTGGGCACCGGCTGCTTACGGAAAGACTGCCTGACTTAACAGAGCCCCTGACGGGAACCTCCTTTTTCTTGGAGAACCTCCCCCCAGCTAGCAGATGTACCTCATTTAGTCTGCCCAACGATCCCATGAGTCAAGTGCCATAACCCTCACTTTACCGGTGTAGAAACCCGTCCAAAGAGGCTGAGTGATCTGCCCGAGGCCACAGAAAACGCTCAGAAGTGGAGGTGGGCTTGACCCCACCCGCTCCATCCCCACACCTCTTTCTTTCCTGCCATGCCACCTTCCTTTCAGGAGAAGCTCTTGTTGACTTTTTCAGTAGTAGGCACAGTTCAAAGCAGGAAAACATGGTGTCAGCTTTGGAGATACTCGTTCTGTCAGTGAAAACTTCAAAATAAAGTTAAAAATTAAGCAGCAAAGCCAGACTCGGGCTCTGCTCTGAGAGCATTGGGGCCAAACCCCTGGCTGTCTGACTGCCACGTGGCTTATTATTTATCCTTGTGAAACAGCGGAATTGTTTGAAAGGGGAGAAGGGACAGCAGCGACTCCAAGGTAGCCTTAGAGCCTAGGGCGTAAGATAACTGGTTTAATGGTGAAGGTAAGTGCTCTTCTTCTTTCTGGATCAGATGATAAGGACTTACCCACCAGAGAGCCTTAAAGGGAGGGAACAGTGTGAGGGAACGCCAGAGGGAAAGCTACCCGCAGCCTAAGGATCTCCACCTGGGGATGGTTCCTGGTGTCAGAACAAAGAAGAGACTTCTTAAAAAGGTAATTGAGCCAATTCAGACCCTAGAGCCAGGTTTGAGAAGCCTCCAGTGCCAGGGACACTGGGGACNGTTTATTTTTTTAAGACTTTTATTGGGGAATTGGGGTAGGGGAACAGCATTGGGGAATCAGGGAAGGGGAGCAGAGAAGTTGCTGTTCTTTTGTTCTTCAGTCTAGTCGTGGAGGATGTCGCTTCACTGGCCCATGTTGTTATTATCATTGCGCTTTTCCCAGGTGAGGGAGATCTGTCGCTGGCCATTGGACAGCCACTCACGGCAGCTCATGTAAGCTCGTGCTGGCTGCCGGCCACTCACGGTAGCTTATGGCAGCCCCACTGCAGCCTATGCCATCGCTGGCGACACACGGCAGCCCAGCTCCAGGTCGAGTGGTTGTTCACCATCTTAGCTGTAGAGGACGCAGCATCACTGGCCCATGTGGGATCCGAACTGGCGGCCCTGCTGCTCAGAGCTCGCCCTTCCAAGCCAGCTCTTAAGCAACAAGCCACTCGGTCGGCCCTAGAGAGCAGCATTTGAGGTGAGCCTTCCCCTCAGGTCTTTCTGTATTGTTCAAGTTTTATACGAATCTATTTATTTTGTATTCAGAGAAAGAAAAAACCCAGTCTGACTTTAGAAAACCCCAAAGCACCCGGATAAAAAAATTCTAACTCAGAAAACAGTGAGAAATCTGGGTGAGGAGTCAGCAGAAGCAGGTCACAAAGGCCTCTTATGTAATACTTCAGTTTCCTTCTAATTGGATTATCACTACATGTGTAATTAATTCAGAGGGCTAATCTTTTTATGACATTAAGGTCTCCCAGCCAATGTAGTAGTTCCATGTAGTCAGATCCTGTTTTATGCCCTTTAATTAAATTTTATTGTTTTTTTTCCTTTGAGTCACACTTTTCTTGTTCACATAATTTCTAAAAATTGTATACTTTTTATTGCTAGAGAACAATAAAAACTTTCTATTTCCATTCCTGGCTAATTATTTCTACTACTGGGAAAAGCAATTGATTTGAAAAAAAATAAATAAATGTTTGTCCTGTTTCTCTTCAGTTCCCCAAATTCCCTTCATACCTTTGTACTTTAATCCCCAGTCATGTAGAGTGACCCAATTCCCCACACCACGACTCTATGGCTTTTCTCTTTCTGGAAGGTCCTTCCCCATGTTATGATTCACTCGTCCCACCCCTAAAGGCTGAGCACGGTCCACCTCCTGCGGGAATCCGCCATCTGAC